GTTGCCTAATTATGTCGATGATAGAATCAAATCGCAAGATGATGTAAATTTTTGTAAAGTTGCTTTTGCGATAAAATTGATTTCTCTATATGGAAAAATAAATTTTATCAGAAAGCAACTTTGCAAAAATTTACATCATTCTCTCTGAATGTGCAGGTCAATAATATATTCTTGAATACTTTCAATACATATTCAAATAGCACCGCGCGAGATCCTTGAAATACACAAATATTTTCAAACAAAATTAATCGTACTGCATTATGTTGTTATTGAACATTGTGAACATGTATGAAATACGCGAGAAGAGAAATCGAAAATTTTATTGGACAGAACATGATATTCTTTTCGCAAGATATATTAACCCTCCAAATGAGTATAAATTTTTTATGCTAAACCACATAATTTGTGGCCAACATAAAACCCTTCCGTTTCTCTTTTTAACTCTGTCTTTCGCCGATCCCAAGCGGATTCGATAATCGAATTCAACGGAGATACGCGCGCATATGTAAAAAGAATCTATAAAAGTACAAATGTATATGTAGTCATATATATATATATATATATATATATGCGGCGAACCGCTTTATCGCTGAAAAAAATCGCGTGATGCATAATGTGCTCTCGCGTGTGTGCGTGAGATTTTACGATCGCGTATTTATGACCAACGTTTCTCGTTGCGGCAACTCTCGACGCTTTTTCTCAGTTTCTTGACATTTTCTGATTGCTTTTTTATCATCTTGTTCATCGACCCATTTCTTTCGATAATATTGGAACCTGGAACTGCAGCACGAATAATTTACGATGATCATAATTTTGACGACGGATCAAGTAAACGGTTTCATAATTTAACAATTGTTAGTTGCTTCTCTCTCTTGCTCTTTCTTCCTCTTCTTTCATTTTATAAGGTGTTTATTTTATTTCATTGATAATTTTGTTTAATGCCAGTCCTGTCGTGTTTTAATTTTCCAACAGTCATAGCTATCATTTATTTATCTTGATGTATACATTTTCGCATATATTTTTCAAAGCAAAAAAAAATAAAAAAGCTAAAAAAAGATAGCAAAAAAAGTCTACTTTACTTACACACACACGCGTGCACGCACACGCGCACACGCACACGCACGCACGCACACACATACACATTCCATCTATAAATCTATATGAAAGAATAGAAACCTGTTAAGAAATATTGAATAGATATGCGATAACAATTTTATTTTTTGTAAATGCGGGAACTTTTTCATTTTAAGTCGCAAAAGTAAGGAAAGTTTATGAAGCTTTGTGAAGACAAAAATTTTTACAGCACAACCTTTGTGGGGAGTTAAATAATCTTTGTGCGTGGAATTAAAAATCTACACGTAATTGACGAAAATTTACAGATATTTGTCGAATATATCACTTTATATAGAGAGTTGCCTAAAAAAACATTAGATGTTTTTTTAATAACAGATTTTCTGGTTAATTCAAAAACAGTTTTTCCTTAACGAAAATGTCGAGGCATCAATAATTTTCGAGTTATAAACGATTAAAGAAGAAGGGCTTTTCGCAAATTAAACTTTGTGGAGCTGAAAGATTAACGAAACTATTTTATTTAATCTCAAGTGAAATTTACTTTAAAGGAATTTTAATTTGCTTAGTTACAAAGATAAGAGTGATGAAAAAAATTGAAAACTTGCAAAAAATGATAATTTCCCTCGATATTTCCGCTAAGAAAAAAAATCGGCTTCAAGAAGAACTGACTAGAGAATCCATTATCGAAAAAACATCCGATGACGGTAATAAAAATTTGTATTTTGTTTTATTCCAAAAACGGACAGAACTTTCCGGTAGACCTAATATATATATATACGAAATCGCATTTTTGTGAGATTCTGTACATGTGATGATTCGTAAATTTAAAGCAAATTCCATGCCATCGAAAATTGCCAAGATGAAATATCTAGAAATCCTAAAATGTACGCGAAGAAAGAATGCGGTAGAATTGCGCTTCGGATCGAATCTTCGCTGATCAATCGACGCGAGTACGACACGCGCAATATCGTACAATTTTATGTTTTCCACGGCTGTTTTCTACGGCTAGATGTGTATTAGTACGATCACACATCCAGAGCCGACGCGTACAATTATTGTACGCGCGGTCGTGATGCGTGTCTCGAAACGCGAGAGTTGGCCCTGGTCGCCTTTATCCATGCGATTATACGACACGCACATTTATATACGAGTGTATATATATATATATATACACACACATACACTCGTATATACATATATGTATATGTATATAAAAGCGCTAAACTATACATATAGCCGCGTATTACTCGTACGCTTCCGCGCACAGCTGAAAGTTACTTGTAATTGTTACCAGCGAGGGAGAGGATGGGAGAGGGGCACGCTCGTTCCCATCTGGGGGGCAGGAGATTATATGTACGAGTGAGCGTGGCCGTGCGTGAAGCCAGCTCCCCCTCCCCTCGTTGGCTATACAAACGAGTGAGTTTCTTTACTCATTATGCGTATTTATAACTATGCGAGTCACACATACACATGGCTCACGATGCTATCGATTTTTCTGGATCTCCGCGCAACAACGCTTATGCCCGCGTGTATTGTATATATGTGCGTGCGCGCCCGCGCGCATCGGCTTGTTATGTAACGCGTTCTGTATCGCGTTTCTATTAATGTCACTAATCGTCCGAGTATTAATCACGTTGTATCGTATTTCTCGACCATGTATATACTACTGTGTGTGTGTGTGTGTGTGTGTGTGTGTGTGTGTGTGTGTGAATCCTATAATGTTGTCCCGATCATTATCTCTTTAGTGCGCGAAGTAACGTATCGAGAATCGCGGCAACCGCAATTCTTTCGAATATATTTCTTTCTCGTTTTTTAGAATATCCTATTCTTATGAGGTCTAAACGTAATTTAAACAGGCATAAACAGGCACGCAACATCCTCGGGCAAGTTTAGGTTTTCGAAGAAACGCTGCGTTGTTTCCCCGATATTCGTCACAGCGGATAACAAGGGAAAAAAAAGATGTTTTTTTTTTATTTTCGATATACAGGATATTTTATTTAAAAATTACGCAACCCCGCGTATCTTTTTGTAAAATTGATCGTTGAATTCCGAGCAATCGAAAGAGAGTATAAGGATGGACAAGTATTTTTAGAATCTCATACATTATGAAATCCTGGCTTTGCTCTCTATGTTTTTTAATTTTTTCGAAAAGCTATCTTGAGATTTATAGAAACATAGTAGAGGTGTCAACGAACCTACATTATCTCTATGTATACGGAAAAAAAAGATGTTTTTTTTTTTATTTTCGATATACAGGATATTTTATTTAAAAATTACGCGTATCTTTTTGTAAAATTGATCGTTGAATTCCGAGCAATCGAAAGAGAGTATAAGGATGGACAAGTATTTTTAGAATCTCATACATTATGAAATCCTGGCTTTGCTCTCTATGTTTTTTAATTTTTTCGAAAAGCTATCTTGAGATTTATAGAAACATAGTAGAGGTGTCAACGAACCTACATTATCTCTATGTATACATATAAATACGATCGAGAAAGATATCCCCTTATATAATGCGTTAGCGCGCGATGAATATACTCTACATTTAGATACTCGCGTGCATTGTGAAGCAGGGTGTCATTTTATTCCCTTTTCATTTAAATTTCTTCAAAATAATCCGCCTGATTAATACGCTTTGAGTATATAGGAACTCGCGTTGGCTCGAGCGAAGCCGATGCCGTGTATATAATAGTTATACATCGGATAATGCAGATCGTATATAATAGTAGAAAATGATAAGAAGCTGAGAGGCACGGTACATTTCGATGATTATTACCTCTAGCCTCTAGACCGTCGCTACTCGCGCGCGCGAACCGGTTTTTAATAATAATAAAATTCAGCTCTTCGATTATGTCGTCGGACGTACGATGCAATCGGAGAGCAAAGCATCGCGATGCTCGGCGAGGCCAGAGAGAAAGAAAAAGAAAAAGAAGAGAAAGAGAAAGAGAGAGAGAACCTTAATAAAAAGAGAGATAGTGGCATAGAAATGAGCGAGACAGTACAAACGTCATGTTATTCACGATCACGTACTCGTTTCCTCCGTAAGCGAAACAAAGAGATCGATCGTTCGAGTTACGGAACGACGACCATAACTAAAGTTTTATTTCTCTCTCTCTTTTTCTCCTTGTCATCTTCGATTTACGCTTACGGAAACGCGATTCGCTCTTCTCGCAGTCTCGCGACTCGGTCTCGCGATTCGCGAAATTAATGTGTTTCGATTGACGCATGAATGAGCTAACGCAAAAATTGATTTGACGATGCTGTCGGTGGGGCTCACGCTTATCAAAAGCTTGTTTGCACGAGAACGCGATCGCGAGGCTCGCAGATAAAAGCAGCACTTCCGATAGAGATGTTATTCTCCAGAATCTGCAGGCGTGTTATTATTCCACCAATCCTTCGTTTTACGGGTCGCTAGATTTATGATTTGTCGTCCCTGAATATCTCTCTCTTTCTCTCTCTGTATTCATCTATCTCTTTCTTTCGATTCGCAGGTCATGCCCATGCTACGGATTGGCTTCGCAGATCTTTGCGATATCTAATCGTAGATCGTATCACACTGCGTAGATTTAAGCTTATAATCGTCGGATTATATATTTTATCTCCGTTTCTGATACACTTCATTTGACGTAGATTAATTATATTTATAAACATGCGATAAGAGAGAGTAGAATCTCAAAGATTGAACGGTACAACACGATCGCGTTTACAGATTCTTAGCGATATGAATCGTATGGATTTGTAAATTGTGTCGATGATAAATATCTCGTTCGATAGATTCATGAATCATCGGATGATATACGAAACTGTAAATTTGTAAAAAAACATCGTTATCAAAACACAAAACATTATCGAATCTCCATCTTTGTATTATCACGGATTCTTAATATCACTGAGCCGCACTATTTTTTTGTTAGATCTCTAGAGTATTTTTTAAATCGATAATTTCTTGGTCAGCGTGTTAATCAAAGTCACAGAAATTTGTGCACTATTCCTATTTCATATTTATAGTTTGATATCTTTACAAAAATTATGAAATAACCAAATAAAGAGAAAAAATAATTTTTAATGCTTTTGCAATGTCTTTATAAGAGAAAGAGAGAGAGAGAGAGAGAGAGAGAAAGAGAAAATTATATTTGTAATCTTTATCTTAGAATAAAATATACAAGAAAGATATTAAAAAGATGAACGCATTTTTATTTCCTCCTGTTATTTCCTTTTCTTTTTAACTTTGTTATTTCTATGTATTTTTCTGTCCGCAATTTCCACATAATCGCGCGAATATGGAGCATCTCCACTGTACGCACATCTCGGACAAATCTATGTTAATTGTCCGAATACGATCACCTTCGGTTATTAAAACTAACGGCACCGCTGTAAACGGCACAAGCCGTAATCTCGTAAGTCTCGTTACATAAATTCTCTTCTTGCGCGCGACCTAACGTGTCCTCCGCGGATTAGACCGATAAAAATATTGTGTTTTCAAATACGCACAGGCTATTTATCAACTGTGAAAAATAATTTCCTTCAACGAAGGCGAAGCGATATTTTCAGTGCGTTTCATAACGGAGACATGACTTATTATGGATGAAAAAATGGAGTAGTAGCAAAAAATAAATCGCAGAAACGTCAGATCGTCGATATTACCAGTTAAAAAAAGAAAAAAAAAAGACGAGAAATATAGCGTATAATTCGTGTCTCATTTAAAAAAAAAAACATTATTCGTTTACATAACCACGAAATGAATATATATCGCGTTAAATCGCGATGATATTTAAAATACTTTTCATACGACCGAGACTAGAAACTTAAGTTCGATCGCGTGTCGCCGCGAATAAGCGCTTCCTCTCTCTCTCTCTCTCTCTCTAATACAATTGAAATCTTACGCAATATACGCTCGATTCTAATAATCGGTTCTCTTGTACAGGAGCTCTTATTTTATCTCTGATTTATTATTCGTCGTGTATGCGCGTCTCTAAATATATATATAAGTTTCTTATTAAAAGTCTTATAAAAAGATATAATGTTATACTCTCTTTTACTTTTTTATTGCCTTATCCATGTGAGTGTCACCATTTTTTGCCATAAACTTGGCCGTATAGTCAAGATCAGCTGATCTGCACTTCGCAAGCAAAACATATGATGTCTCATAGTGTGAATTTTTCTAAAATAAATTTTTTTCTCTTTTCCGACACAAAGAGCCGAGAAATGTACATATGTCGACCCCCTTTTTACATCGAAATCTCGATTTGCCTAAATCGCCAATAATTTGAGAAAATTATCCGCTTTTGACACGAAGGGTCGACGATGATTTCACCTGTGGCCTGTGGTTTTAATACGCGCATCTCGCGCCGCGTTAAAAGCCTGGATAAAAGGCTGCGCGACGTAATGCACGTAGTCACCGAGAGACGCAAAGAGGGGTGAGAGGGGGGGGGAGA